AGGCACCTGTAGCAATGGCACGCAGGGGCACAAGATTCATGTGCAAAACATGGAAAGCCATCACCTGGAAGGAAGCATGGGCCTCCAAGCTCGAGTTTTACATACAAGTATTGAAGATGATATTCTTCACAAGGAAAATAGATAGAAGTTCTGTCTCTGCTCAGTCGATGACTGAAAAACCTTGGGGTTAGCTGGGAGACAGAAACTGTAAATCAGGGTTCCACCAGATGATGCGGTATTAGATCGGAGTTGCTGTTGAATGCACACAGGCCATGTCCATTCCGTGATTGCCTGAGTGGATGGCTGACTGGTCCTCTTTTTCAGTCTAGCCATTTCAAGCCCTCTCTCAACAAACCCAACTCCCAACCAACGGGTAGTGCGCCTGTGCGACAATACCCAAGTGCTGGATACATCTGCGCCAACAGCTCGTCATGCAGATCATGGATCGATCGGAACCGCAGTTCGGTGGCACAAACTTCGAAAGAGCCGGGACAGCGACAGCCCTGAGACGGTCCGTCAGAGAAGTTGGAAGAAATCATAAGACAACTAGACCAGTGGACCTTTTAGTTCTTGTTTCTTGAGCATGAACACTGTGCTTGGAAGCTAATTAGTGATGTGTTGGGTTCTAATCAGTTAGCTCTGCAAAAGGCATGTTTCAGCCAACCAGACCTGCCTTCCCCTCCAATCCTGCCAAGTTCTTCTCCACAAATGCACAACCGATGCCATAGTCATATCTCTGGGGGAGCAAGTAGCGTACGTCCTTGGAAACTTTTTCGCGAAGACTCCTGGGGCAAACGCCACCATCAAGAGCTCTCACAATAGCCTCGCGTCCGGAGATCCAGTTGGATTTCCCATCGGAAGGGAATGCCCAAACTGATCTATGCAAGAAAGTATACTGCGACCAATATAAATGTTGAATTTCGATATATTCAGGGATATATACTTTTTATGGCAATGGCCACTAACCTAGCACCGATGACCTCCAACCTAGCTTACTAGAGTCCTCCAACCTAGAAGCAAGAAAGTATACTGCAACCCTGCGCTTTTCTTTGACACATCAACTCCAGAAAAGCAGCACCAATCCTTTCGACAAAAAAGAAACAAACACGCGCCTTGGCTTCGTTCATGAATTTTTCTCTTTTCATGCCGTCCACGATGTCTCCGGCCTCTCCGGTCAGCCAGGCGTCCACGATGTCCACCGCACAGGAGGACAGCACGAGGACGATCAGGAGTTCCATGGTGCCAACAGCACAATCGGTGCAACCCAGCGTGCCCGGTCGCGTGCTAAACCGGTTGAGGCATGCTGAAAACCACGG